TTATTATTATTATTAGTTGGCATTAGGAACTCGAAAGTTAATTGCCGCAAATACCAAATCCCGCCATTGTTCCCGTCCATGAGCGCAATCCTTCCATTCGCGATCTTCATATCCTATTTCTTTCAGAAGAAATAAAATCCTACCAAAAAAAATTAATACTTAAATAAAAACAAAATAGAATTTGGAATATAAATGGAATAAATAAAATGAATGAATGCATTACACAAATTATAATAAAAATAAATGCAAATGAAGTAAAAATTATTTGAAAAAAAAAAAAAAAAAATATATATATATATATATAAATCTATTAAAATGTTTAGTTATTTTTTTGTATTATTATTATTATTATTACTAATCGTATTACAGAAACTGACGGTTGCGGCGAACCAGCACGCACACTTTCAAAATACAGCCGAAGGTTTCGCCATTCTTCACTATGCCGGGGTCGTATCCTACTCGGTCGATGGTTTCTGCGATAAAAACCGTGACGTGCTTTTCCTAGACTTGATAGAACTGATGCAGACGAGTACAAAGTAAGAAATTACGAAGAGAAATACATATTTACTATGTTCAGATGATACAAACATATTATTCACTAACATTAACTCACTGTTAGAAAAAAAAAATCAAAAACAAAAAACATAATTTCCTAATAGCAGGCAATGTATATCTATGCAGTCACGTATGATATTTCATTTAACTATAATAACTTAAAAATATCTTATATTTATTACAATTGAAATACGAAAAATTGAAAATCATATTTTGATCGATTGGAACATTTTTAATGGATTTGATTAAAAGTATCGAAGTTGTTTAAAAAAACAAATTCGTTAATATTTGACCTTGAATAAAGAGAATAAGAGTGACGAAATTAGCTCTTGAATCAAATTTAAACGTTTTACAATTACTGAAATATATTCATGAGTTAAAAGATTAACTTTACTTTTAGAATGTTTTTTTTTTTTAATTTTAATATTGAAACACCTATGAGTAGACTATTTTACACTTACCGTACTATATACGTTACAGTTTATTAATAAAAATGTACTATGCACTAGTTAAATTCATGAATATGCATGAACTTACTGTACCATATATGAAACGGACGATTTCCAACAACCCTTGCATAAAATTTACTTTGTGAGAATTTTCTTCTGGTGATTTACAAAATGTCTCCAGTTATATTTATAACGAAAATACATATTAAAAAGAATTCTTATTAAATTAGTAATTAAATCTAAATAGTCAAATGTTTAATTTTATTATATAAAATAAATGTTATTAAAATATCTTATAACTAAAAATTCCAATGATAAAAATCTTGATGAATCAACATATAACAAATGATATGTTAATTTCTTATGATTATATTTAATAATTAACTCTTTATTATTTAATAATTAGACTCCAAATTTGTATGTGAATATTGGTCTACTTTTTTTATTCTCTGAAATTAATCGATTTGATAAATGAACGTGTCGTACAAGTTTGGGAGTGATCTCTCATGTTTCTAAGTATTGCTGAGAACGAAAGAATAATGTGAGTTAAACACACAAAAAAAGAAAAAGTGACAAAGCGAAGAAAACTAGAAGTAACGAAATAGGATTTAACTGACTTTTTTTACCCGACATCATTCCATGTTGTTTGTTAAAACAATGGGGGTATTAAAATGGTGTATACTTGTAGATTTAAAAAGAAATTTACATCATTCTCATTCTCAGCGAGTTGTCTTATATTGAATTTATAGCATTAAAAAGTTGTAATTAACAAGTTCATCAAAATAGTCATCACATTTTCTTCTTCTTCTTCTTCTTTGTCTTCTATAATAAAAAACCATTTAACGAGTATTAATTAAATATATATATATATTTATTTTAGCCCTTTGGTACGTAATCTTTATCCACCTGAAAAAGATATTTACAAAACGAAAACATTACAAAAATCTCGGCCAACAACTGCAGGAAGTAAAATAAGAACTCAAGCAAGTCGTTTGGTTGGACAATTAATGAGATGTACACCTCATTACATTCGTTGTATTAAACCTAACGAAACGAAAAAACCTAGGGATTGGGATCAGGTCAGAGTCAAACATCAGGTAAGGTTAATTTAGATAATAAACGTTTCTAATCATTCAATTTTTCTTTACTTGATAAAATTTCATTGATGTAATTCAGCAACGTAAAATGCACATACACCACGTATACCCATAAAGATATGTGGAAAATACTTACACGATAAAAAAGAAAAAAAAGTTGTTAATTGTTTAAACAATATTTTAGGTCGAGTATTTGGGTTTGAAGGAAAATATCAGAGTACGTAGAGCAGGATTCGCTTATCGAAGACCATTTGCAAAATTTCTTCACAGATATGCGATTCTCACTAAAGAAACTTGGCCACGTTGGACCGGTGATGAGAAACGTGGCGTGGAATACATACTTGGAAGTATTAACATTGATAGATCGCAATATCAACTTGGAAAATCAAAATTATTTATCAAGGCACCTGAAACGGTAAATCTTAGAGATTAATTGTTTTAATTTGTTTAAATAAAATGAGTATTTTTTACTCGAACAATTTTAACCCTTTGAATGCTAAATACATTCTTAGCTGAAGTGTTCAATAAAAAATAAACAAATTGTTTTTAAATGTTTAGTAAGAAAAGAATACTTGTTTCGTATATGTAAAGTATGTTTGTTGTTTCGTGTGATTGATTTTACTAATAAATTATATTTAATAATTAAAATTATTGTTTCTTACATAATTTTAACATGACATGATTCAAAACATAAAACAATATTAAATTATTTGTATTTACATTGACAAACACGTATACGTGTCAATAATCTACACTGGAAACTTTTAGCAAGCGCATATATGCGTTCATATAGCATTCAAAGGGTTAGTCGAAGATATATCCAATTTATTGATCATCGTTGTATAGTTCGTCAACGATAATTAAAACATTTATTACTAAAGTAATTTGTAAATTAATTTTTTAAACTAATAATAATAAATATAAATATAATTTATATATTTTAAATTTGTAATAAATGTCATTAATTATAAACTTGATCATTTATAAAATTAATTTCGTAGCTTTTCATGTTGGAAGAAGCGAGGGATCGAAAATACAATTTGTATGCGCGAATAATACAAAAAGCTTTTAAAAAATATTTCACGCGAAAGAGACAGGCCCAACAAAAACAGGAAGCTGCTGATTTGTTGTTCGGTCACAAGGAACGTAGACGAGCAAGTTTAAATCGAAACTTTGTGGGTGATTATATTGGAATGGAGGCTAAACCATTGACGATGAATTTAATTGGTAGAAGAGAGAAGGTCTTATTCGCAGAAATTGTTAAGAAATATGACAGAAGGTTTAAGGTGAGAGATATAACAAAACAATTATATTCCTTTTTCTTCTTATTCTTATTCTTCTTCTCATTATTCAGTTACGAATAATAATGATAATGATTAAGTAAAGAGAAGAGGAAACATTTCTTTCGTGACTTAGGTATTAACAATCCTAAATAATTAACATTGTTTTGTATTTAATCTCAGGTATGCAGAAGAGATCTCTTGCTTACCGGTAAATTCCTATATTTGATTGGTCGTGAACAAATCAAAAAGGGTCCTGAAAAAGGTAAAACCGTGGAAATAATCAAAAGAAAATTATCATTCGACCAAATAAGTCACGTTTCATTGAGCACGCTACAAGACGACTTTGTTGTAATACATACTAAAGAGGATTATGCTAGTCTATTGGAATTAGTCTTCAAGACGGAATTCTTATCATTGTTGAATAAAAAATATATGGAAGAAGTTGGACACGCTTTGATAATAAGATTTAATAATAAGTTAGTAATATACTTATATGTATATATGTACATATGTGCGAGTATCAAAGAAATGATTTATATAATATTATTCTTTATAGTATAGAGTACAAAGTTAAGAAAGAGGGTTGGGGTGGTGGAGGTATGAGACAATTAATATTCAATCAAATCGATTATGGTGATAAAGAAATATTAAAATCAAGTGGAAAGGTCTTGAATGTTAGTATCGGACCAGGTTTACCGAGTACTACTAGTAAGTATCTCAATTAAAATAACAACATTTTATATATGTTATCGTTAAAACGTATAATCTAATTATTTGATATATATATAGAATAACTAGACATTTCACGAAATAATAAAGCATTTTCGTAAAAACTTATATTAAGAATTTTATTATAAACTTTTAAGTAGTTATTTTACGGAATAATAGATTTTACGTTTCAACGTTAACATATATAAATATTTTAATTATATATATATATATATATATAAATAATATTAATATAAAAATTAATATTTGTATAATTTAGAACCAAATCCGAATAGATCGACTACCATGAATTTTCATACGATTTACAAAGAAAATACTGACAATTTTCAAAGTTCTCGTACTATTGGAAAAACGGTCAATCAAATGGGTCAAATGAGAACAATAGAAAATACAGATCGTGAAGGAAACGATCAGACTTGTTCGATTGGATCGAATATCTCAACTAGAACCTCTGATTTACGACCTGTCGCAGCTACGAGAAACGTTAATTCTAACACGTCGAATACCGTTTCTAATGGTAGACCAAGCATACCACCTAATCGACCAAATTTCAGGCCAACGCTATTTCAAAACAGTACCAAAGATACTACTACTAATAAAAGTACAAATAAACAACAACCTAACAAATTGCAGAGTTCAATCACGATGATGGGAATGTTCACGAATCCTGGTGGTGGCCCACGTGGTAAATAAAATAATAATAATATTTATAAGAATGTTTTAAAAATAATAATATATCGAATGTGATTGACATGTTTTCAGGTTTGTTAAAATTTCCCCCACCACCAACGGATCCACCACCAATGCAAGATAACACGAGACATTCGTCTGGATTTAAATTACCTGCATTAAATACTAAAGAATATAACAATAATAATAACAACAATCAACATTTGTTAAATACTAGAATAAAACGTATCGAAGGTGGTGGAGCTAGTGCTAAAGATAGGAATGTATCACGTAATACGGTTAATCCTAATCAAATGCCTCCACAAAAACCGCCTCCACCAAATTTACCTAAGGTCAAGGCAATTTACGATTACAGCCCACAAGATCTCGATGAGCTTGCATTAAAGGAAGGTGACGTAATCGAAGTACTCAAAGAACGTAAGTTGAAAATTATAACATAATGATGTACTCAAACATGAACTATAATCCATGTATTCATGTACGTGTATATTTTTCTTTTTTTACGTCATCGTATACGTATCAATTACGTAGGATTTTTTTTCTCATTTGGTTCTTCTCTTTTTTTTTTCTTAGACGAGGGTGGATGGTGGCACGGAAGACTGAAAGGAAAAACTGGCCTTTTTCCTTCGAATTATGTAGCAAAAGTATAGAATAATATTAGCTGAAATTAAATTCAAATTTAATCTTTAGTAAATTTGTATAAGAAATAAAGAATTATTATAACAACAACAAAAATGGAATAATACAAAAGTCAGAAAAATATCTCGCGTTGTTTTTCTATTGGAAATTTTTGTGTAACGAATTAAAATTCAACGTTCTTATTATCGACAAGAAAAAACGAAAACTATAAAATGAGCGTATGAAAATTGTTGTTAATATTGTATTATTACAACGTTAATATCGCTACTATTATTATTATAATTATAATAATTATTAATATTATTTGATTAATATATGTCGGGTGTAGAAAGTAAAGTGATTTATTTACCAAAAAATGCATTTATACTTTTTTTTTGTTACTAATAATAATGATTTATTCATTGCACTATTTTTGCTCTAAACGATATCGACGTCGTTGTTAAAAAATTAAATGAATAAAATAAACATTATTGGAAATATATAAAATATAAATAACTTGGCAAAATTGCAAATATAAAACGGTGATAAAAAATGATAATATATGTACGAAATGACTAGTAAATATATACCTAAAGATATATATGTTGGTAAAAATATGACAGCCTTGAACAATCCAAAGAATCTATTATACAATAAGCTTATTCTTTGTGATAATTATTCGTTTATGATCTTTTTATATTACGCAAATCATGCAACCTATATTACATTGTCTTTAATATTATTACTTTTGACATGCAAAAATATAAAATGAATCATGCATATTTATTGTTAATGCGTTAGAAAGAGAATGTATGTATGAATATATATATATATACAGGTGGGTGAGTTAACGTTAATATCTCTGTTTTTTTTAAAAGATACGTCAAATATCAAATAAAAAAATTGAATTATTCAATAGAGCTAAAACGATGCCAAAAATTGTATATTTTTATGTCATATTTTTTAAAAGACACCAAGATCATTTTCATTAAATTAAACATCTTCAATATGCTTACGTTTATCTCCAAAATTTGCAAATACGTGTGTTCTTTCTTCCTTTTATTTTATTTTGTTTTTTTTTCTTTTTTTTATTGCATTTTATTCAAATGATAAATACGACATTATGTTGCGCTTTTGTTCACTCATACAAACTATTTTCACAATTAACATTGCAACCAGCAAATTAGTTTTAGCACTTATCAACTAGATTTAAAGCATTGGCAAGAATTATGTTTCATTTTGTTATAAAACTAATGTACTAACAATAAAACATAAAATAAAATAAATCAATATTAACTCATATATATATATAATAAAAAAAGTAATAGTTTGAAAAAATTATTATTCCTATATATGTGAGATTAATTTACAACTATAGTTATCGCATATTCATCCGATATTTTATGCTTCTTTTTTTTTCCTTTTTTTTAAATCAGTAAATTATAATGATCTTACACTAATAAACATATATTTACGTGTAGCAATCTTAGGCACTGGAATAATAAATTATTATTGCATAAATATTTTGTTTGATATTTTGAATTTATCTTCTGATTAATTATCCTAGCAACGTGAACATATAATAAACAAAAATTATAATATAAATAATCATTGTGTTCATAACGCATATAAAAAGAAAAAAGAATAAATGAAATTTTTATTGCATTTTCACGTTAACATCGTTTAATCCTAGCAACGATATCTTCTGTTAAACATTTAATAGTAATAATAATAATAATCATCATCATTGTTCCGTTCAGTCGTTAAATATATTATCAAGAAGATCTTACCTAGGACATATTATTATAGCATGATTATTTACATATTCGATTTCATGTAAGATATATATATATATGTGTATATAATTTAAAAATAAAAAAGCAAACTCAATCTGCCATGCCTTGATAAAGTTATTTAGGGTATAAATATAAAAAATAAATTTATTAGGTTTTATTTTTTACATAAGCATTAGTTTAAAAAATGTAATATATATAT